CAGCGAAAAGGCAATAGAAGCAAGGGCGCAACCTGCAAAAGATACTATGAAATCCCCACTATCAAACCTAGTGCCAGAAAAAAGGTGTGCACATAGGATCAGATCTCACCAAAGACAAAAAGATGGTTCGGTACCCTTCCTCCATGAAAACCAGGATGTATTTGCTTGGTCGGCAAGGGACTTGAATGGCGTTAGCCTAAAGGTTGGGGGGACAACGTTTCTCTTTTCTTGTATTTTCTACTTGAACAGGTTGCGGGGAACGTCGCCATCTCGCCTAAACATTAGGATGAGAGGATGGCAGAGAAGATGCGTTGGACGCTCACGCTTCAGCATTCCTTTCGCCTTACTAGCTCGGAGAATGCCCCACCCCCCCTATCGCCAAAGCAAAAGGACGGAGCAACATCACCTCCACATGGTCGTAATAAAAAACACAAGAAAGTAATGAAATACTCTAAAAACAACCAATCAGCGAAAAGCACGCATATGGCAAAACAAACACACTATATACATAATCAACTATACACAACAGCTCGCTGAGCGAGAATGCAAGTATTGTACATCACCTTCACACAAAACTACACTCCATCCCTTCTAGGACGAAGATAAAAACTATATCAGCGGTTCTCCAAATCTATAGTCGACTCTTCAGCCAGCTCCTCGGGATCTTTCAGGTTGGAGGCCAAGGATTGCCCGTGATCATGCTCAGACTGTCCATGGCAAGTTTTTCAATCTTCCAAAATAGACATGTCAAACTCTGAATAGAAAAATCTACAAAGAAATTCCTCCTTCCTAAGAAATTGACGAAATCGAGACCTTAAGAACCCGGTCATACTAGTTCTGGGAAATTTCTCGTGGTGGTGAAACCACGAAGTGCCTCCAACATGAAAGTCGTTGCAATCAATCATAAGCGGCATCCGAATGGGCTATGCAGGCTCCGCGTCTGGAACCTGCGCACCGAAACCATAAAAGTTTAAACTATGCCTTACAATGGCATCCAAATAAACACAAGGTCCTAAACGATTACAAGTGCCAATTCCTAGTTATCTACCCCGTCTTGAGCAGCATTGTCTCCAGGCGCACCCATGTTGTTATCGCCTAGAACCTCAATAGCTGGGGTCAGCGGGGCCTCGGTATCGCCAGAACCGCTTCCAGCCGTACCCTCGCGAGCGTTTTGCTCAGCAATGTACTTCTTTACTTTCTCGTAGATCACCGCACACTCCTCGAAGCACTGCACAACACATGCCCAAAACTCATAAAAACCTATCTAGGCAACATATTGCAGAAACAAAGGCAAAGCGAAAGCAAAATGATTTCGAATTAGAAGCAAACCTTGCCGCGGCTGATGGCAGCCCTAAGGAGTGCAAGATTGCAGCCTCCAGGACGCCAAAACCCTTCGAAGAACCTTTGTCCCGCCTCATGAACGCAACTAGGTGTGTTCCAGTAAGTCTACGGATCATTGATTTTTAATTTATCGAGATGATCGCACCCGCACTCCTCCAAGTCCTGAGCGAAGGCACGAAGTGAAATGAAAGAGGCGTACTCCTGTCCGGTGGTCATGTAGTCGCTCATGGTGGACAACTGATTCACCATCCACTCCATGAAATCAACAATAGGAGCATCACGGGGAGCTTCCGACTCTTCGCCCACGCTCTCGATGAGATCCTTGTACATGTTCCCTGCTCTCTGGGCACCAGCGACAAGCTTGCTCTATTCTTCGAGTTTCCTCTTCTGGTACCCATCAAAGTCCTGGCGCATCTTTTCAACTTGCTCCTCCATAGTCTTGCGGGCGGATGCATTCTTTTTGGCCAACTCCTTGGCCACCTCTAGCTCCTTCTCGAGAGCCTAGATCCTTTCGTCCTGGGCCATCAGCTCTTTGTCCAGGCCTTGGCAGAAAGCTTGTCCTTGGTGCTAGAGCCCTCGGGCTGGAAGCACAACCTACGAGAATCAAACGTGTCACAACAAGCTGCCGCCAAGCAAAAATACAAAGACAAAAGTCAAACATCCATCCACTTACGCTAGTAGCATGAAAGTTTACTGCCTCTATAAGAGACGGGTTAGAAACCTTCAAAAGGTCCCTCTCCACCCTGGGAGCTGAGAATGAGCTAGCACACGCATCGGCGAAGCTGGCCACGCTCGGAGTCGGCAGCAGACCAATGATGCGATAATCCACGTTGGCGATGACACGAGAATTCGATGTGGCCCCTAATGAACGAGCAATCTGGTAAGTCTCCTCCTTCGTGAATTCATTTCTCCAGAAGTGCTCGACCCTGAATACACCCACATATCACCATAATCCTCAGGCCAGGAATTCAGTTGTAGCTCCCTTTGACCGACAATTGCCCGCGGACCAAATCTTCGCTTAAGAAAATATACTCCTCATAAAATGTAGACTTACCCTGCAGCTGAGAGCCCAAAATGTCAGGAGACATCACGGGAGTAGTGACCGGAAGAACAGAAGTCGCCTCTTCGGCAGAGGTCAGTCTTGCCTCTTTTGCGCCGGCATCCTTCGTGGGGTCACTGGACTTGCGGGAATTCTTCTTAGATTTCTTCCCAAGGACATCACCAACGAACATGGTGTCCACAAGACCGAAGGTGTCATAAACATCAACAACTTTTGCCTTGCCGACCATTCCGTCAAAGCTTGAGGAAGCCTGAAACATCAGCAGCAACAATGCATTAGCGAACAGATAAAACAAGAGCGAACTAGGAAATGAAATGTTGAACCAAAAATAACAACAAAAATACAGTACTACCATTTTGGCCCAGACTGGCCCAAATCGGTGGGTTTGTCCGATCACAACCTTTTTGCTATTCCCCACCTTGCCAGCAATTTCTCTCCCAATCCCACATTGGCAGGCTCCATGGGACCACGTCCTCGGCCACTAAGCTTTCTCTTTTGGGATTCCATCACAACAGTATTCATCCCATGTCCAGCTATCACCTTCCGCGCCCTGCCCTCGGGCCCCACGACCATGGCCACGAGGGACGGCGTCGTCGGCCGAGAGACTGGTCGAGGGGTGATAAGCATAACAAAGGCCCGTCGCTTCACACACGTGGTTTAATCGCCTCTTCCCAGCCAAGGGCTGGCACCAGCCCTTGTGCTCCATGTCATCGTAAAATCCGACGATTTCCTTGGCCTTGTGCTCTATATCAGAAACCAGGTCTCGTAGCTCAACGGAGGGCTGTCGCAAGCTATCCATTCTTCAACCAAATCTCGACTAATCTGCTAGCGTGATGTCTAGGCAAAGGCATCTGCAGCTTTGGTATCACGTGGACCATCCGCCAGAGCTTCGGCCAAGCGACAACCTTCCATCGGTGTCATTTCCAAGACAAGTATGTGCGCCTTCGACAGGCCATTTATCATCGCCTCGGCCACATCTTCATTAGAGCACACGTGGTGATAAAACCAATAATCGGTCTAGCATGGCCACTTATTCCTGTAAGCCAGCATAATTTGCAGGGTGCCCTTCGTCTTCTTCAGAATAAAATTATATGAGCCATAATGGGCCACCATCTCGACCTTGGTCCGCTTGTCCTTCACTACCTTCTTTGTGAAGATGGGTTTCATAGTAGCGTGCGATGGTATTCACACTTAGAGCACACCCTGACATTTGGTGTCAGGTGGTGAATTTGTAGATTGAAGCGTTGCAATACTTCGCCCACAAAATCTTCACAAGAAAACCGCAATCCTGCTGCCAAAAATCACAAAAGACGACAGCCTCTTAAGGCTCCGGGCATGGCACCTCTCTCGGTTCGATGGATGGCACAGGCCACGGAGCGTAGGTTGATCAACATACTTGTCAAGCTCCACCTCAGTGACGTGTGAACGCCATATCCGATAAGTAGCCGGAGATAAATTAAGTTGCCCCTTATCGGCGGCTGGCACTAGACCCAGGGTTTTGCCTTCGTCGCCTTCTTCCACAATCTCAACATCTGTATCTGTCTCTTCGCCAATGTCACTACGCGAAGGACTTGGGCAGCCGTCAACATGGTGATCCACTGCCAAGCTACCATCTCGCGCAATTGGCGACCGAGCCATCACTCGCTCAGACAAACTCTGCGACTGAGTGTGAGATTCCGAACTAGAAGTGTCAGATGCGCTCCCGCTGGACGAGCTGCCACCAGACGATGACTCACTCCACATCTATCCAAGTGGAGTTACATACAAAAAACCCAACAAAAACCAAAAATAGTAAAGAGGCAAAAAGGGCCACAACAATGAAATAAGACGAATGCACAAAAAGGAAGTAAATGCGAATACAACAAAACAGATACGAACCTATGAAAAGCTCAGCGAAGGCTGGAGTCCTGACAAAAGCGACCAAGGAAGCGAAAGCCCAAGCGAGAAGCCAAAGAGCGAAGGCTTAGTTCTCAATTGGGGCCTGAAGATGAGACGAGCGCGCACGGCTCTCCTGGCTCGGATGGGTTTTACAGGCACCCGCCGGGCCTAGCACGCGAATCGAGGAAACGACACGACGGTTCGAATTACATGGCGTGATAACCAAAAAACCATTACATACTATTCCACAAAAAAATATAGTTATTAGTACAATAATAGCAGTAATAAACAAAAATACATACTTATATATGTACATAGCAACAACATAGACCTCCACCCTTCGCTCGGAACGGCGAACGAGCCCCATTGCGCGACTATCCCATAAATTCGCGAGGCAAACGCGCTTGGATCGAGAGCCTCCTCGCGCATTTCCGAGGGGCTAATGTTGGGGGCGTGCCCCGCCTACGGGCACCCTAAGTGGCTCTATCGTTGTCCCGGGTTGGCTCGAGCGCACTCAACATCTGCCTGTGATGAGAAGGATGTGTCGAGCCCCATTCTCGCCCCGGTGAAGTAAGCGCAGTGCTTGCCGTCCTGTCCTCAGACACCCCTTTTTGCTATGGCAAAAAGGTGGACTCTACGGTCGGGACCAGGCTGGGCCTAGATCTTTCCTTTCACCCTAGCGATAGGACTCGCTGATGATCCCGGCTATTCGCCCAGGAGAATGGCCGTTAAAAGTTTGGCTGCTTGTGGAACGGCGCTTGACATCCCGTCCTCAGACACCCCTTTTCGCTATGGCGAAAAGGTGGGCTCGGCGGCCGGGACCAGACTGGGCCTAGCTCTTTCCCTTTTCCCCTAGCGATAGGCTCACTGATGACCCCAGCTATTCACTCTGGCGAATGGCTGTTGATAGTCTGGTTGCTTGTTTCTGCAAGTTTCGTTGTGCGATAAGCCAGCCGTCCTCAGGTGGCTGACAATGTCTAACCGCGCGGGGACCATCTGGTCAGTCGAGCAGGCGACACAAGGCGAGGCTGGTCAGGTCTCCCTGGGCCAGTGCTACCTGAGGCGGGCAAGGGCTCTAGCGAACAAGCCCCATGGCGGCGGGGAATATCCCCCGGATATATAGTAGTTGTGGGGGCATTTTGGTCCCGTAGAAAACCTACAAGCCTGTATAAATAGCCCCCTTGTGGGGAATGTAAAAGGAGGATCAAGTTCAATGAAACCGTTCATCTAGTTCCGATGAAGTTTCGCTTTGCCTGTTTCTCGTGCTTGATTTCGCTTGAGCGGCAACCGGTGTTCGAAGGCCTTGGCCGAGAACAACATGTTAATTTGAAACTATAGTACTTACTATACATTTCATTAAGAACTTTCACTTGATATTCTACTAAACAATACTAGAGGTCCTAAGATATCTTCTTAGTTTCTACAGTGGCATAACTGGTCGTTTAGCTTGAACCACGGAACTCAAGATGTTGAAATTTTAATATCATAGAAATATATGTATAGTAGTATTGTTTTATAAATATCAAATGATCAAGATAAAATTAGCAATATTTATAAGACATAATGTTTCAGTTAAAGTGTATACACCTATTTAAAACACCAATTTCTATATTTTATTATCATGGAGTTTAATAATATAACTTAAAAATGAACTATCAGTATTATTCATATGTGGTTTGTTAAGGGTACATTTTTCCACCGTTGATAAGCTACTAAAATACTACCTCCGTTTTCGTTTACTTGTCACCGAATTTTTACTGTACCAATTTTGACCATACGTTTTTTTCTGCAAAAGATTTTTAGATACATCAAGTTTTCACATATATGATTCTTTATTGAACATACTTCATTAGTGTTATATACATTGAAGTATCTAAGATTTTTTTAGAAGAAAAAACAGATGATCAAATTTGCTACAGTAAAAGGTTGCTGACAAGTAAACACAAACGGAGGGAAGTAAATATTTATCCTAAATTATACATTTTTACTAAGTTTGCACGGTGGAACATAGCATCATGCTTACTTTGAACTTAAAAATCAATATGATTGAAGTGTGTAATATACAAATATATAGCTTACTTAATGGATATATAGTGTATTATTTTTTTGCAAAATAGCTTATATTAGTGTTTACATGTAGATTGGAGAGATATTTTTGTTTGCTTTGTAAAGGTTCAGAAAAATAATTTAGATACCAAATTAAAGATGTTACTTTACATTATCTTTCATAATGGTATATGTGTGTAATTTGAATCCAAACTTAGGGGGTTACTTTATATTTTTTTCGTAGTGATAGATTTTGGCATAATTTAGAAAAACACATTATATATTTATTTTAAACGATTTTCATAAAGGCAGAGTGGGCAATATTAGATATAATTTAGGTTTTCATTTAAATGCAAATTTAGAGGGTTATTTTGATAGCAGATAAGGGTAATTATGTTTCTAGGATTTATCTTTTTTTTTAAACATGTCGGGTGAGAATTAACTTGAAGGCTCTGTTAATGCATATATGCGCATTTGGTAAATATGTATGGTCATGCCAGATTTATGTTGTGTGTCCCTTGTCTGCATTCCTCGGTCGTGTGGGTGCAGTCTTATTGTACCGACTTCCATAATGAGTAATGATTAGAAATAGACGGGTTGGTACTCCCTCCATTGTAAATTATAAGTCGTTTTGACTCTTTTGATACATCCATTTGCTATGCATCTGGATATAATAATATGTCTAGATACATAGCAAAATAGATGAACCAAAAAAGTCAAAGCGACTTATAATTTGAAACGGAGGGAGTAATTGCTAAACAATGATCCAAATGACATGAAAAAAGAACATTGTTCAATATGATTCGCAATGTAGTGGAAGCAACTTATTAATAACAAGCACAATCTTGAGCGAGCACTGACCAGGCCTTATATATGCTCCAGGTCGACTGTACGATTCGTATTCTCTCAGAGGCTCGGGCGTTATGTGAAACAGTGTCAGCTAGCAGCCTTGGAAGAGAAGGTATGGGAATGGAGCAAGGAGCAGCCGGTGATATGGAACGTCGGAATTGGAGCTGCAGCGTCCTTTGTGCCCACTCTCACCAGGCTCTTGTTCGAGCGCACCAAGGACATCTACGGTCCCTACGACCACATTATGCATGTGAAGCTGCCACCACCCGCCGCGGCTGCAAGCAGCAGTGCAGCCCAGGAGCATCGGTTGGCGTTTGAGGTCCTCACAGAAATGCTGACGCCTGAGGGCAACAAGCAGCTTCTTCACGAGCTCAAGCAACTTGCCGCAGAAGAGAGCTACTTTGGGTACGGCCAACCCTCTGACAGCCTGATGCTCCAGGCCTTTGGACGGCGGTACATTGACTTGTTTGTATCAGATCCAGATCCATCCGTACGGTGGAATGACCCTATCTATTATCGTCGTCCTGATGTTTCCCCAATACTAAGGAGGGTCTGGGAAGCAGTGGAAGGGAAGAGGCACCTGCTGCTCGTAGAAAACCTGCATGCTCCCGTCTCATTGGACAGGTTGGTTTTCATAGTGGGCGAGCGGTGGCCATCTATATTCAAAAACCGGCGGTGGCTCATCTCAACCACTTCCAAGCATGTCTGTGAGAAAAGCAGAGTAAGAAGCATCGTTCCAGCTTCAGGTCCAGAGCAGGGGTTTTCTCATTTAACTCGGAAATATTACTCCGCACCACCTTTTGATGATCTTCGCGGGCGAGATTGGGCTGTGTTGATTAATGAGGCCTTACAGGATGCAGCCAGATCCATTTATATGCAACTCCAGGACAACGGATACCCTGTGCAATTCTGGCTCCACGTAGCTCAGCACTGCTTGTATTATGGTATCCTGTACCATCCACTGCAAGAGGCTGCTGGAAGTAATGCAAGCAACGCCTCCTCTATTACCTCGGATGAGCTGGTTCGCTGCTGGGTGGCTGAGGACCTGCTTTTCTCAACAGCAACCTCCACCAATACACCAGCAGCCACCAGCCAGAAACAGAGCAACTACTACAGGTCTGCATATGAAGCTGGAAAGATCGTGATTCAAGCCTTGCAGGAATATTCGTTACTGCCAATCTACTCTGATGTTTCTACCTTAGCAGGAAGCACTTCATCATGTGAGGAAACTACTTCTGTGCCATCATCCTCCCAGGATGCCGTCACTGGTGTGTCAAAGTTAGCTGAGTTTGTCCCACGCCTCAAAAAAGATGAACTCAATACTCTTGTGAAGAACAATGGTCTAAGATGGGTCTCATATATGAAAGACCATGGTAGGCATGTAAGCTGGAACTGGACATGGAGGGAAACCGAAGGACATGTAACGATGACAACCCTTATTATGAGGGGCTGTTCAAATGTGTCAGTCTTTCCTTTTGATAAATTTCTCACCCCACACCTCCGTGTCCTTGATTTGTCCTATACACCTATAAATTCACTTCCTCCTTCATTTTCCAAACTACTCAATCTCTACTTGCTTTCGCTCAGAGGCTGCTCTCAGCTGGAGATCTTGTCTACACCAACACCTAATTCGGACAAACAAACATCGACACTAGCTCATCTTGAAAAACTTGAAGCCCTTGATATGAATGGGGTTCCCTTGCTTGAGCTTACCCAGCAAGATTGCGGCAACAAGAGCAATCTGCACTACCTTGACCTATCAGGCTCAAAGTTCACCACCCTTCCTTCTGAATTCTTCTGTGAGATGTCAAGCCTCGAGGACCTCATTTTCGGTAACTGCACCAATCTCATAGAGTTACCTCCTTCCATGGCTCAACTGTCAAATCTGTTGGTTCTTCATGTCGAGGGGACTCAGATTACCTCTTTTCCACGGCAAATTTTCCAAAACATGCAAATCCTGCATACACTCAAGCTAATCAGCAACATCCTATTGATGTCACTACCAGTGTCCCTGTCTGAAGCCAAGGGCCTCAAAGAGCTACATATCTCGAACTGCATTAGCTTACCGCTTCAGATTGTCTGGGAACTATTACCATTCCTTGAAAGTCTTTATATACAAACATGGGAGGCACTGGAAGATATCAAGATCCTTAGGCATCCTAATCTGAGAACCTTCTCACTCTCTGGACCATGGGTTAGGTGCTTGTCCTTGTATGGGTGCAGCAAGCTCAAATCTGTGAACTTTAGTGATGATCTTACAGCATTGGAGGGTGTTGATCTTTCTGGAACTGCTATTCAGGAGGTCCCTCACAATCTCCCAAATCTACCACACCTCAACATGTTAATTCTTCTGGGTGTACCATGTTCCATGAGATTTCCATGGCATATTTTGGTCCGGTTTCCTAAGGTTTTCTATTTGGTTCACTGTGCAAATGATTATAATCAAATTCCAAACATGTTTTGCCAGCAGAAACTAACTTATGGAGATGAAAATCAGCACAAAGAGGAAACTACCAATACAGCTCATATCAAAATAGATGACCCCAGAATGTTTTATAGCTTCAACGCATATGCTGCTTACAAGTTAGTTATGAAAGGACACTTTCTTCAGTCATTCAATGTTCAGGTTAAACCATGCAGTGTGACAGGCAAGAAACCACGGAACAATGAACTTGAGTTATCTACCAGGATCCAGAGGTGTTCGACTTACAGTGATGTTCAGTACTCAGAGGTAGCTAGCATTATGCCCATGATGATGCTTCAGCCAAAACAACGTCATGTTGAGATTTCAGCTAAGAATCAGTACCCAAATGGCTTAAGGCATATTCTCTCTGTCACAAACTCAATATTCATCACAGATGACGCTTTTGTTGGATGCCTTACAGACCTCAATTACAGTCTCAATGAGCTAGAAGAATGCAAGCTCCAGCGCTGCCATCAAATGACAGTAGTATTTCTAGTGCGTTCATATGGTTCAGTACCACACTTACAGATTCTGCAGGTCTTCGATCTGAATAACCTGCTAAGTTTGGTCGAGCCAAGTGATATATCATATTCTAAGTTGATTACTCTGAAACTACTAAAGCACATTCACCTGGAGCACTGCCCACGGCTGGAGAAATTGTTCCCATGCAGTTTATCATTACCTGCTCTGGAGACTCTGGTCATTCTCTTCTGCTCCAACCTCAAGACAATTTTCTACAAACAACCTCTTTATGAGGTAGCACGTTCTCCACTCCCAAACATCAAAAGGATCTACCTCCAAGAGCTGCCACAACTGCAGCACATCTATGACGATGTCATGTTTCGATTTGAGACGCCAAATTGGGAGAAGCTTTTTGTCCGGGGCTGCCGATCCTTTCGACGCCTCCCACTCTTGAAGAAGGAATATCCGAAGTCAAAGGTGGAGGTGAGTGGAGAGCGTGAGTGGTGGGACAGGCTGCAGTTGAAGCTGCCAGAGCAGAGTCACTGCTACTTGCATGTGGCGCCACCAGAGTTTGTATCACGCAAGAAACATATCATTGAAAGCTACCTCAGGTGATCAGATTGGTTTCAGATCCAGAGCTCTGTGTCAAGCACACAACTCAGTTGCTCTCTCTATCCATCACAGTGTGTTTCTACCCTACCCTGCTTTTTGTGACGGAGTGTATTATTTTTCCTTTAATAATGTTTGCCAAGGGACATGTCATCACTGTGCTGGTTTGCTCAATCTGTTTGGGTTTAATTTGTATGTGTTTTAATAATTGGTGATTTCCGGTTGCCATGGAACCAAGCTTTGTGTGTATGAAGTTATGAACTGGTGTGCTGAGAACAAACTTGTACTCTTTGTGATTTGGAACGGTTAATGTACTCTGTTCTTGTAATTTATTTATGTCGTGAGCTTGTTGTTGATTACTCCTGAGTCCTGTGTTAAGTATCTGTTATTTGACGAACTATAGAAGGTGGTAGCAAATAGAAATCTGTGATTGGAACAATGGATATTGTATACTGTTGGTTGTAAAATTGTCCAGACACATGATGTTACCTTGTTGAACTGTGCTGTTGCTGGCTTGCTGCCACCGCAACTTGCGCAAAGCCATGTCTACAGTGCCCTTCCAAACACAGTCCAGTATATTGTCACATTACACATAGACAATGGATGGCTGTCACCACTCACGAGCTCTAATTGTTACCAATATAATTAGTGTAATGCACTGCCCATAGTTGCGAACAGAGTGTCTTTGAGTGTCCAATAGAATCAAGAACAGAGTCACCTCGCTAGCTGTTATTTGATGATCATAAGTTGTAGGGAACGAATAAGTAAGTTGCTGTCAAGATACATCCATGTAATAATTTTCTGGACAGAGCTTAAATTTGAAGTGTGTTTTTTTTAATACAAGTAACCAGTCAACGCATGGCACCTCCTTAACATGGAGCCGTGGGGAGTCTCCCCGTCAGGCCGTCACGGTCGAATACTTTTACAGGCAGAGGAAACTAGTGATCAAGCTGAAATTAATTGTCATCCTGAGCACATTCATGGAGATGGAGGCAACAGCAACACGATTCCTGGCCCGAAGCAATACCTATTACATGAGTTAACTCCACCACCACTGATAAACACGATATTTTGGCTTTTTAGCTAGGAATTGCTGCAGAAAAAGGGTTCCCTAACTCGCTTTTGCACAGCTCATTTCGTGGCATGTGCACATGATCTTCTTCAGTTGGTTCCGCGGGTCTCGGCTGTCTCGACTTAAACGACTGGGCTCAGAGCCTGAGGCACTAGTTCATTCTTGCGACGCCACTACTGTTTTGTGTTCTGGAGGGATGAGAGCTCGGCGGACTCCATCGTACGGCCAAGAATTCCATGAACCATGTCATCCGTCATAGGCGTCCTGGTACATGTTCGTGCTGATGCCATTGCCATGCATTCATGTTCAAAGCGTCGTCTTAGGCGTTTGAGGCTACCTAGGGGGCCAATGTCAGTTGGTTGGTTAAGTTAGCGGCTAATCTAGCGCTCGGACGTCCAGCGCACCACACGCGTCCGGATGCCTACTCAAAGTGCTCAACCCCCGCATCCGCTTCGGCCCCCCATGCGCATGCCCCCTGCCCAGATCAAGACGCCCCGCTTCGCCAAGAGCTTCCCGCCAGTGTTCACCCCGCAGCGACGACGAGCACGCCCAGCCGCCCAGCGCAGCATACCCGTCTGCTGCCCCGAGCACCTCCTCCGCTAGGCCCTGACAAGCTACATGCCCCCATCCGCTCGACTCCCCCCACGCCGAACAACATAAAAAGTTCAAATAGAACACTTGCAACAACACGGAACAACTGCTGCAACATTAAGCTGAAGCAGCTGAAACATTTAGAAAATATTATTGCAACATCTGTGAAGCATATGAAATAACGGTCGAATAAAATACTTACAACACCATGGAACAACTGCTGCAATATAAGACTGAAGCAACTGAAACATTTACAACATATTATTGCAACATTTGTGTGAAGCATATAAAACATCCAGATTAGAAACGTTGGCAACTTCGTCTAGAAACAGGTGAAACATTTTGAACAAATGCTTGCAACATGCCTTTGAAACACTTGCAACATATGCAACATCCCCATGATCTACTTTTGCAACATCCATTTGATTCAACTGGAACATACTCTAAAGCGTCAGAAACAATTGAAAGATACAATTGTAACATGGGGGGAGAAGAGAGCCTGGCGCGGGGAGCGCCATGGCCACCGGATTTTAGAGCATCGGGAGCTCCTTGTGGGGAGGACGCCGGTGTGGGGGGGAGGGGTGCCGAGGGGGGGGGGAAGAGGACGCCGAGGTGCGGGAAGGAGCCACCAGTGGTGGGGAGGAGGACACTGGTCGGGAAGGAGCAGTGGGTGTGGGGGAGGAGGACCCGGAGTGAGGGCTGAGGATGCTGGCCGGCTGGCTGGGAGAGAGAAGCAGTGTGGTGGAAAGGCAGGCGAAGGCGGAGGAGGAGCTGCGGTTGCGGAGCTGTGGTCGGGGTGCATGGCGCTGCTGGCTCCATGGAGCGAGGAGAGGAGGACGCCATGGTAGTCGCAGTGGTGAAGAATGGAGATGCGGGACGGGCGTGGTGCGCCGTTGCGGGCAGGGTCTGTTGGACGATTCGGGCGGCTCGGTCCTTCCGTCCGTCCAGACAGACGAACAGTATCATTATCGTTAATTTAGCCAACCTATACTCATCTTCACTTTCCTGTCCTGTGATATGGCCTCGGTCCACTTACACAGCGAAGCCCGCCTCAGCCTTATAAAAGTAACTAGTATTGATGGAGGTTTTATTTTCCACTCCAGAACGTGGCCCCGACGGGGGAGATTAATTGTTTTTGTTATCTCTAACCAAGGTTTTAAATCTCCGGCTAAGCCTCTTAGCTGCGGACCTTCCAAACAACTAAACGCAGCTATAGCCGGAGATTGCTGCAGCTAAGCCCTTTAGCTGTTTTTGCAAAAAATAGAAAAAAACACATGACAGTTGAAACTTCAGAGGAGTAAATCACAGGTTCATAGGTGGCCATCACATGCTAATAAACTGTAGAGCTAAAGACAATAGTACAACGAATTGGTGTTGCTACTGCTACTGAGGATTGGGGAAGATGAAGAAAGTTACTTGATTGATCTTTCATGGTGTTCGATGACTTGGTGTTGTTGTTGCTGCTTAGGATTGGGCAAGATGAAGAACCGAGGAAGGCAACCGGAGTTGGGGAAGACGCTCGAGCTGCCTCGGTCGTCTTGATTCTTGACTCCCGCTGGCTCGAGTTGCGCTGGGTTGGGGAATCCGTGAAGCAGCAGACGGCCCGCTTGGGGATCCGGTGGTCATCTTCTTGGCCCTGGCCCGACGCCGGCTTCGAAGCAGAGGCCGCCACCGCCATCGAAAAGAGAGGCTGCCGCCGCCTTTGCTCCTTTTTATCGAGAGACTTGGGAGAGAGTCGAGCGTGACCGAGACTACTGAGCTAGGGTTACGGGGTGTGGGGTGGGTTGGGAAAAGTTGAGCCAGTAAAATTTTAAATTTGGGCCGTGGGTGACTTTTTTCGGGCGGCAAAGTTTCAGCTACAAAGCTAAAACGTGGCTCCATTAGCGGCTATATCTGGATTTCTCCGGCTATTAGCTGTTGGCTAATGTTAGCGCCAAAAGTCGAATATCTTAGCTTTCATCTCATCCAGCAGCTATCTCCGGCTATAGCTGCAGCTATAGCTAGAGATTTAAAACTTTGTCTCTAACTAACTAGATGGACTAGAAGTCTAGACCGTGGGCCATCCATTCCATAGCTCAATCCGTCAATCGTAATAATCTCGTCTCGCTTGATCTTTGGAATGGCAAAATGACCCCAGAATGTTTCTCCCACTATTATTTTCTCGACTGCATTTTTTTTTAATTGGCTGGGAACCTTAAGGCTTCACAAACATGTTGTGACCATGTTTGTTTTTTCTTGTGACTAACTTCTCGCAAAAAAGGGTGAATTAGCTGTTGGAGCGTTTGGTCTGAGACCTATTAAAAAAACGCTCTCTCACACTATTATCGGTCATGTTGTGACCACGTTTCTTTTCTCACACTATTGATCTAGAGTCAAGATGCACTCCTTGAGTCATTGACATGCTAAAGAACATGGGCATGCGAAAAGCTCAGCAACATGAATGTGATTGCCACTGAACTAAAAGGTTACAAGGTTTAGAAAGGGAAATCACTTGTAAAAACAATATGGAAATTTAGGCAGTTATGCAATCAGCACGTCAATATCACGCAGTAATTTGGGCATATTTTAACGTAAAGCTGTTAAGCGTCATGTGTTTTAAATCAGTTTCACTGAAGCTATGTAGAGTCAGGCAAAAGAGTGACCAGTGCAAGTACAGAACTAACTAGATGAAGAACAACAATTCAGAGGCAAACATGTACTGACTTGTCAACCAATTCATTGACCTTTCCCTGTAAAACAGCTCCTCTCCTCGTAAACTTGGCCTGAAGCATGGAGCAGATCCTGACAGACTCGATCTTGCCGAACGCACTGAACACAGCTTCTTCTTGCGTGGTTAATACAAAAAAAAAATGCATCAGTAGCCACTTTGCAGTTTCAGGCTACCAGATTAATAAACAGGGATTGCAGCCCTAAAGATATCGATAAGCATTTCATACAATGTTTCCGCTCTTCAGTAATACATATTTGACGTGAACAAACCTGATGGGTCTTCATGTCGACTGAATCCATGTGCCCAGACACTAACTGGATGTTGGGGTCCTGCGCATTTTATCAAACACTTAGACGACAAGGAATCAACAGCTAGCTCCAGAACAACAAGAAAGTTTTTCTGCGACATATAAAGGAGAATTAGGCAGCGATGTCCAGTGCACTCAATCAAATGAACGAGCATGAATCAATTGAAACAAAGACTGGCAGACAAGACCAGTCCGCGGAATCGGATCAATCGAGTCAGCGCCACGATCACGAGCTCAATACGTGGATGCAGAGGAAGGGGGAAAAGGAAACAGAGCGGCCGGCGTCCCACGGGGAGCAGAGGTCGGTGACCTGATCAGCTTCTGTT